ACTTAGGCACCTGCTTAAGCAAACAAGTAAATCTGGTTTGTATCCAGCAAAACACTCCAGTTTTGGCTTATGTCCCACTGACTTGGATTTTTTGCTCCAGGGCTTCAGACAGTGTTAATTGCCTTAGCAGTAGTTCAGTGGAGCTATGTAGGTCCTGCTTAAAGTGTTTTTTACTTATCAGTGGTATTTGGGAGAATGGAAAGAATAATTCTGTTGATGTGCAATGGTATCACAAGTGCAAATTAGAAAGCAAAAATTGCCTTCCAGGCTGCTCCTGTGCGTCTCATGCCTTCATGCAGAGTTTGACTTGCAGAAATCTATTTGTGAAATGCAGAGAGTAAGACATAACTCTTGACAGTTTAGGTGTTCAGAGAGATTTATTACCAGAGCTGCAGGGGAACTGCCTGAGGATTGGGTGTATTTAGCACCACAGTAGTCTTACAGCAGCATACTTAGGAGATCATTATTTAATTTGCTGTTTCCCTTCCTAAGACTCTTCCCAAAAACTGAGGGGGCTGCAGGAGTGTGGTGGCAGAAGGATAGGAGTTCTTCAGAGCAATTCACACAGTGATTAGATGTGATAGAAGGTGATAGACAACTTCAGTAGCTTGGTTTTGCCACTTTTATGCCTTTTGCTTCTGACTATTGAGTTCAGCTTGAGAAAGGTTATTCCTGGCCATTTCCCCATGGCTCCTGAGTGGGAGGAAAGGGCAACAATCCTTTGGCTCTCACCAGAGGTTGGATTATAAAGTGATGTTCATGCAGCAAATCCATGCTACATTTCTGTTTCTCTCCAGTGCATCAGCACACATTCAGTAACATAATAGAACCAAGAAGGAATGGCCTCAAATTGCACTGGATGAAGTTCAGGTTGGATATTAGGAAAAATATCTTCTCAGAAAGAGTGGCAACGCATTGGCACAGCTGCCCAGGGAGGTGGTGGAGTCATGGTCCCAGCCTAATTCTGCAGATTTTGTTGCTTCTTTTTTTTTTCCTTTCATGTAAACATTTCCATCAGAGCTTCCTTTCAGGTGTGGCAAAGGAATGCAGCAGCTCATGTGGTGCTCCTGGTCACCCTGGGATGGCTGAAGAAGCATGTCCTGACTTTTGGAAGCATGAGCCTGCCTGTTACTGAAACTAAATGAAGCTTTGCTGCTGACTTCAACAGGGAAGTACCAGGTCATTAGCTAACACCTGGCAGCACAGCCAGTGCATTGCATGGGCAGAGGCAAAGCCCTCAGGGTAGTGACAAGGTAGTCTCGGTCTCCTTATCAGGCTTGCTGCCTGAGGTTACCAGATTGCTTTCCGTGCTGCCCTTCAGAGTACCAGGGACATAATCAGGGCTGCAGAGCACTTGACACAGCTCATGCGACTGTATTTAAAGCATGTTTCAATTAATCTGACCTTGTGTAGGAAAAACCTGCAGAGCCCTAATGCTGCTCTCTGGGAGGTGCATGTGGTGCTCCAGGGCGCAGTGCAATGGGTTTGGCCCGTGACTGGAAAACCTGATTTTAAATATAGGGTCACCGTGAGCCTGTCACAATGATGCTCCATTTGTCAACATCCAGCACCGTTATACCTACAGATGCCCCTGATTTTGAAGGGTGCCGCTCATTTCATTGCACATTACCATTTAAATGAGTTATATTTGTACCTAAAGGCTTCTATCTCATGGGGCTAAGTGCTATACAAACACCATTTTTTAGCCTCAAAAGGGTATGAAGGGGAAGGATGGTGTGGACTGTCGTGTTCCCCTCTGAAAGGGCAATGTAATAGTTCTTAACATTTGTCTCCTACTTTGTCCTTTGCTGGGTCCTGAGCAAAGCATTCAGACATGGAAGTTGAAGCCTTGCAGACAAGCTCCAATGGGATCCCATTTCCAGGCTGCTGCTCAGTTTTCACAGTGAAGGAGTGTTATTTGCTTTTACGACAGGAAAGGAGAGAAAGCAAAGCTTTCCCTTCAGCTTTTCTCTTCATCTTTTGGGGAGATAAAGAGAAGGAGGAAAATATAATAATATATAAAACACATCTATAAATAAAGGAAGTGCCAGAGCCTACACTGTGCATTTCTTTTCCAAAGCTGTGTGTGCTGGGCAGGCACTGGGATAGGAGAAATGCTCAATAGAAAAGCCAGGGATGATGTTCTCCTCTAGGACCCAAGTGCTCTACTGTGAGGTTACGTTTGGGCTTGGACCAGTGGTGCTGACAGCACAGCAATCACATTTATCTGTCATATTCTTATCTTTCAGTTCAGGGCTTCTTCTGCTTGAAGCCCACTGAGCTGTACTGGCATTTGAACAGCATGTGAGAACTGCACAGTTTTGTATCATGCTCAAATTCCACTGCTGTGTGTAGTCATTGAGCCATAATCATCGCTAAATCCAAGTTGAAAAGATAGAACTCTGCACTGTTATCAAGATTATTTTTTAGGCAACGACTGAAAATGAGAGGTCTGTGATATTCTCAGGATGCCCTGGAACCCTCTTCAGACCTTTGTATGTCCTTGGAAAACTCCCTTCTCCAGACTGAAGGTCAAAGTTCCTTGTTGAGGTTGTCCTTGACGGACAGCCAATCCAACACAAACCAAGCAGCATGGAAGCACTGAATTTCAATCACACAACTTACAGAAATTTTCTTTCAAATCAGAAGCTGGGAGAGCTATTTATAGAACCACAGAATCAAAGAATCATGGAATGGTTTGGGTTGCCAGGGACCCTAAATATCATCCAGTCTCAACCTCCAGCAGTGGGCTGGCTGCTACCCACCAGACCAGACAGCCAAAGGCCTCATCTACATACCCTGTTGGGAAAGACTTTCAGATACACTGGTGATGCACTGACTGGTTTCTCAGAGGGACTAAAACATCTGCTTTCAGGTGTGTAAATTGTAGGTGTGTAAATGCAGGTCTGAAAACTTCATAAAATCTCCCCCCTCTCATCCATAGGTCTCATAGAATGGGTGTGACATTGAGGCAGTGACGCTATAAGATCAGTTAATATAATAGATGGGTCTATATATGTTGGGAATGTGGCCAGGAATTTCCGCTCTGAGTGCACCAGGCATGCAGCTGTGCAGCCCTTGCCCTCTGAGGCCTTTCCCCATTAGCAGTGTTAATAATAAGGTTGGAAGCGAGAATCGCAGCCTGACAGCACCATGTGCAAACTAACTGGGAGCCTCTGGAAACGCAAATGCCTGCCCTTCTCTGGGAAAGGCCTCTCTCTGACCCTCGTACAGACTGATCATGATTTTCCAGATGATGGTAGCTGAGAACAAGTCGAGTTCTGCTGGTGCTCCGGGGCCCACGCAAGTTGCTGCATGCACAGCAAGTGGCTCCATCTGTGCTGCTGTTTTCACAGAGCTCCCCACACTTCACATGGGCTGATCTTGCCATCATCTCCCACAGCAGCAAGCTGTACAGACAGTTGTTCTGCTATTTGTATTTAAGATGTGGCAATACTTCAGCAAAGCGTGGCTGTGTGTTTACAAATGTATTGCGTAAGGCTTCCCTTTGTTGTGCTATCGTTACATCAGAATGAATTACTAATGTCTTTTGCCAGCTTGCAGAACACTGGCACATATCTAGAATCACAGAATATCCCCAGCTAGAAAGGACCTGCAAGGAACACTTAGTCCGTCTCCTGGCTCAATACAGCACCACCCAAAATCCAAACCCTATGTATGAGAGCGATGTCCCGATGCTCCCTGAGCTCCGGCACTCGGGGCTATGCCTGCTGCCCTCTGTAGCCTGTTCCATGCCCACTGCCCTCTGGGGCAGAGCCTTTCCCTGACAATGTCAAGATGGGTGTTTTGTTGGCATTAACCTAAGTCAGACTGCAGTCACTCCCATTGCCCAGAGGGATGCAAGAGCCACGAAATAAAAGCAGCTTACATATGGCACAAGGAGTGACAAGGCTCAGGAGCACAGGGGAAGGGCTATGCCTTTGGGCTACAGCCATTACAGTGACAACTCCAGCAGTGCTAGTGACTCACCTCACCTAACGGCCCAACCAGAGCTCTGCACAAAGACAAATTACTCTCTTTATTTGCTTTATGCTTGTTTTTGCCTTTTCTAAGATATGCAATGAACCAAGGACAGCGCTAACACGTTTTCATGCCTAAGCAAAAGGGTTGTCCAAACTTGAACTTGTCCAGGGGCCTTTCAATAGAAGCACAGCAATAGTTTGCTTTTATATTGGGTGTTTCAGACATGTTCTGACTACATCATAAAACGACGATAGGAAAATTGCAGAGCAGCTCTAACAGCAGAGAACCCGCGGCTATGAGTGACTATCTCTGAGCTTACCGCACTCCCTCAGACCTTTCCCACACACATCAGTAATAGAATGTATTAATAAAAGGGAGTACTGCCCCACAGTCTGGGCTTCAACATGTGCTCAGGATCTGGCAGCAGAAACAAAGTGTGGTTTTATTGGACTCGTGAGCACTTCCCTCTGTCCCTCCCACTGAAGTCAGGCTCCTGTGACAGCCCCAGTAAACAAAAAGCAGTGAGTGCTGCAGCTAGTGCAGAGCAATCTGGCTGCTTGGGGACTGCGTGATGCCCGCCTCATGTCTGTCCTTCCCTTGGTGAAACAGTTAATCTCCTCCTCAGTTGTGCAGCCAGTTCACATGAAACCCCGTGGGAATGCAATTATTGCTGATATTTCTGCCTTTTGTCAGATGGGTTTGATGATGGCCAAAGCTTCTCCAAGTTACAAGAAGGGGGAGTGATGTGATGTACAGCACAATTGAATAAAAGCAGGTTGGCAGCCAGAGGAGTTCCTGCATGCAGCACGAATCCAAATAACTTGCTTTCAAAACTGAGCTTGCTATTAAAACAGAAAAATGTGCAATGAAGCTGCACTTTCCTGAGTGGTTCAGGGACTTCTCATCCTAAACCTGAAGTCATCTCCTGTAATGAGACACAGCTGATATTGGTTCTGCCTTTCTCAGTGAATAACTCCTTTCTCTGCTTCCAGGAATGAATTGTAAGCAGCCAAGAAGGGAGGATGCTCTGTGCTCAGTGGGGTTAGACAGGCTGAAAATTGCTCTGTCCTGGAATTTGCACACGAGAATCTCTTACAAATTACACTAGAGCAGACTGAGAGGGAGTACACATGAGTAAATTTAGTTTGCCTGAAATTAAACCAGCATTGATGAGAGCAGGATTTGGTCCTTAGATCCTCAATTGAGGGCACCTGTGTTTGGAAAGGGTTTAACTTACTGCTGTGCTTCAGAGAGCACCTTCCTAATTTACTGGCTTCATGCACAGTATTGAATAGTGGCAAATTAACTAGAGGTGAGAACAATCCCAACACATTTCTTCAGCTGCTGGCAATCCATGTAACTCCATTGTATTTAATAACGATTGCTAATTTTACACCTGTTAAGGACTTGATAAAAGGCAGTGTTGGCCCTACAGTGCCTCCTGGGATGGAATATGAGCCATTTTGTGGCTCTGAGTTGCTGATTTCTCATTGCTTGTGCTGGCTGCAGTATTATGAGGTAAGATAATGAGTTTTGTTTGCTCCCTTTCCTGCTCTTTTTTTCTGCCTGTCTGACCCTTCTGGTGCTGTAGGGGTGACTCTGGAGAATGCATAAGTGCAATATTTTTACCTGCTTCCTTCTGTAAGTGGATTGGATGTTTTCCTTTGCCTGGATGGTCAGATGAGAATATCCGAAGTGGCCTTAGCTTGTATATAGCTTTGTCTCTAGAAGCCAGGAAGCTGTGTTTCAGGTTTGGAGGCCTTGTAGTGATTATTTTTTAAAGTCATAAATTGCTCTAGCCATCCTCTCTGGGGGAAGGGCTGGCAAACAGCAGATATTGCCAGAAGTGTGCCTAATCCTGCTTAGGATTTCTTATGAATGCAGCCTTTAATCATAGTCTTGCAAAGTGAGGTGTCTTTTTCTGAATTTTTATGTCTGAGACCAATCGGACTAATTCAAGATTTTCTGTAATAGGTTTGTTGATCAACCTAATTTCTGTGAGAAAAGGGGGGGGAAAAAAAAAGTTTGTTACTCTTTGTTAGGATGTTGATGAGACTTTAATCACTTTACATGGTAATCTTGGATGAGGATGTAGAAACATGTTTACAAAATACACCTGTTCTCATCTATCTGTACTTCAAAGCCTGCATTGTGCTAAAGGGAGCAGAAAGTGCTGATGTGTGTATTCCTACTGGAGTTCTCCTCATCATAGTGCAAAAAGCATTTTCTCATGTCTGTATGGCATACAAAAATATTTGGGTTTTGGAGATGCTCATCCTGCTGTGAAAAGAAATCATTAGTATCTGAACCTAGTGCCTTATGCTAAGTGTATTTTGCAAACAGTAAAGCAAGCTATTAATATCAGAATAATGTAGGAGGATAAACAGTGGGAAATTTAAAGCATGAAAAGGAGTGAGACTAATAGGTAGTGGGCTTGGCTCCTTGTTCTTTGCTCTGGCTACTGCAGAGCAATCAGAATCCCAGGCCTACCAATGTAACATTGCCTGGACCTGCACAAATGTCTTGAATCAAATGTGAAAATGCTATTTTGAGGACCAACATGTGCTTCTGAGGAAAAGATACTCATTCTGTTGCTGTAAAACCTCAGATTTGAGTTCTGCTGAACTTACCTTGGGTAGAGGTTTATGGTACCTTTACAACTGGGTGATATTCTGTTCCTGGGGAAAACTGATGTGTACTAATTAAATAATTTTATTATGTATTCATGCAGAGAAGTATGGTCAAAACCAAGTTGCTTTGCTTTGTGAATTTGTTCAAATATGCGGTTTTACTTATGTTGAAAGCTGAAACAGTCCTTCCTCACAACTCCATTGAAAACCCAGTGCTCTGCACAAGCTTCAACCCTGGGCAGCTTGTTAACCACTGTGTATGTGAGGTTACCTTTGAATTCAGTCTAACACGTCTAATGAAAGTCATTTTTATAACTAAGTTGTTATCTTAATTATCATTTCTATGCTGTATTAGAGAGCAGCTTATGTGCCAAAAGCAGAAAATTCTCTGTATTTCTATGCAGTAAGTGCCTACAGGGCTAAACCTATTTCTTAAAAGTTAAGAGATAGAGCTGTCCTTTTACTGTTTCTGTACTTGTATCACAAGAAGGGAACGTACAAAACTGAACATACTGATGAAATAATCCTTGTTCCATAGGGCTGGAGTAGAAAACAACCAAGGGAAATGGCAAAAATGAGCCAGTGACTGCTAACTTAAGAAAATCTGGTGTTACCCAGTCAGAAACACATGGTAAGTTAAAACTGTGCTTGATTTCCAGCAAGTGGACTATATTTCACTTGGTTAAAGTTTTGCAGAGTATTTGCATGTGTAGTGCTGATCAGTATTAAGATTTATTCCACCTGATTGTTGTACCAGCCTAATAAAACACCTCTAAAGAATGCTTAGAGATAGATAGCTATCTTGACTTCATCTATAAGGAGCAGTTGTAACAAATGTTTTTACCTTTTCCACTCTGTTACCTGTGAACACAGTGCAGTAAGGTTTATAGGATGTATTTGGGATGTTTCTTAATCTGAGAAAGGTGTACTTTAAGTAATTTTAAGTGACTTGACTTGATCTCTCCCTTTGCTTGTTCTTTCCTACCACATAACCAGGATAGAACCTTGCTGTTGTTGCAGTGCTGGAACAAGGTATCTAATTATCAAAGATGTTACCACAGGGAGGCACTGAGAGCCAAAGCTCAAGATAAATTTAATCACTTATAATAACCATGTACCAGGAAAGAGTCAGGCATGGCAATAGTGTTGTGATGTGGTTTGCTCTTCCTTTTTTCTTAATCCTCCCTTTCTATGCCCCAGTCTTTTACCTGATAAACAGCCCTTATTTACTTGTTGCTCATTGGTTCTTGCTTTGCTGCATCAGATTTTGTATGTGTGAAGGGTTACTATGGCAGAAACCCATGATGAGTAGCTGCAGGCTTCTCTTAGTTTAGAGGTTTAGACTGCTGTATGCATAAAAAATAGATTTTGCTTCTGAGTGCTTTCAGTAGAAAGGAAAGTGAAAAATATGTGGAGTAAGCCACTTGAAGTTTTGAGGACTTCAGGTGTGTTGGCCCAAAAGCCTTGGGAACCATTCTTCTAGCAGGTCATAAATGGAAAATAGCGCTGTGTAACTGTACTAGTTCTTAAACATGGGGAAGTTTCTGAGAAGCAGGTCCTACAGGTGGAGGAGCTGATATTTTTTGATCTTCAGCTTTTCTTACTTTCCTGACCTGGGGAACAATTTAGGATTTTTTTTTTTTTTAACTAATGCTGAGTATGATTTCATCTTACTGAACTTAACTGCTGTACTGTTAGCCAAACAAAATACAAGGATAAAAATAGGTGGAAAATAGCTTTCTTATACTTTAAACCTGTTCAGTCCTTTTAGAATTTCTCAATTTGTGTTAATCAAAAGCAAATGTAGAGTCCTGCACCTGGGGAGAAAAAAATGCATGCATCAGTTCAGGTTAGGGGCTGACCTCTGCAGCTGTGAGCTATTAGTGTTCCCTTGTGGTCAAGAAGGCCAATGGTATCCTGAGCTATATTAAAAGGAGTGTGCCCAGCAGGTTGAGGGAAGTGGTCCTCTCCCTTTACTCTGCCTTGATGAGGCTGTATCTGGAATACTGTGTTGAGTTCTGGGATCTCCTAGACATCTAGAATAGGACCATGAAGATGATAAAGGGCTTGGTGCATCTCCTATATGAGGAATGGCTGAGAGACCTGAGTCTTTTCAGCCTAGAGAAGAGAAAATGGGGGATCTAATAGATGTTTATAAATATTGAAAATGTGGGCAACAACTGAGTGAGTCCAGAATCCTCAGTGGTGTGTAATGATAGGTCAGCAATGGCTAAAAACTGGAATATAAGAAGCTCCACACAAATATGTGCAATAGCTCTACAGTGGGGATGTTGGAGCACTAGAACAGGCTCTCCAGGGAGGCCATGGAGTATCCTTTTTTGGAAATATTCAAGACTTGTCTGGATGCCTACCTATGCAAGGTAACCTGCTTTAGCAGAAAGGTTGGACTTGAGCTCTAGAGGTCCCTTCCAAGCCATGCGATTCTGTGAAGTGCTCCAGCTAGTCTTAGAGACCTGAGACCATCTGGCCTTTAAACCCTTCCAATTCAGTTCTATGATTCTAGCCTTTGCCCTGACAGGGAAGACTGATATTATGCATTTTATGCTTAGATGTTCTCAATGGAGGCTTCTGTATGACATGCTGGTTTTACCCCCATAGAAAATGGATGGCTAGGGGAAAGATATTTGAGCTAAAAGGAAATGCTTAAAGGGAAAGTGTAAGCACAATTCTGGTGCTATGAAAAACTTAGCGAATACTTAGATCAACACAGAAATTATTGGGATTTGGGGAAACTCAACTATGTCACTTCATTTGAACATGGATACCTCTTCCAGATTTCAGTTTGTGGGAGAAATGCAGATACTTAGTGTGTATCTTCAGTGGAGGAAAAACAGCTTGGCTTCACTGATGTAAGATTGACATGAACTTTTCTAGATCTCTTCAAGTTTTGTCTATTTCATCCCTTTGCAGAGAAAAATAGATGTGCTTTCTTTAAAAAAAACAAAAACAAAAACAACCCCCCCCCCCCCAAAACATTGCATTCTCTGGAGCTTCAGTGATGAGCAAAGAAATCTTTCAATTTACAATTGTAATTTATATTGATGATGTTAATATGCTGAATGCTATAACCACTTCCATCTCTCAGAAGGATTCTAATACATCCTTGAGTTTTGGGACCCCATTTCATCTGGATGTAGTATAAGGATGTAGATGTCATGGGGTCTTTTAATTTTCACTCCTCAGACTCACTCTCCTTCTTTCTGATTAATTTCTCTATGGGGTGTCTGCCTTTTACATCATGGCAAATGGAGTGCTGGGGGGGAGAGAGATATAATGTTTTATTAGCAGGCTCTGTTTAATGTAGCTGTGCTGGTCCTGTGAACTAAATATGCTATCAAATTAATTCCCCTGAGATTAGCAGGCTTGCTGATACTGGGAGAGCTATTGAAGAACATATTGGCCATAGAGGAAAGCTTGAGAAGCCAAATCTTCTTTGTATCTTTTTTCGAAGTCTGACCCAGGGAGTCTTTTTTGTTAATTTTTTCTTCCTTGTAGAGAAAGGAAGAGATCTCATGTGTTGTAAGCATTTGACAACTGATTGAATGAAATGATTGCAGCTAATATGTGATATTAATTACATGGCAAGTGGCCCTAGGAACATATCAAAGAAAGCCTGAAATAAACACTGAGTATTAGGGGCATATACATACAAGATGTCTTGTTGAGCAAGTCTGAAGCACAAGACTGAAGGAATTCAGTCAAAGTTGGTATCACACCATTCTCCATCTACAATGACTATGCCAGCAGCCAGAGTCCAGAAGCTAGTGGTTTCAATTTTTAGAAGCTTCCAGAAAGGTATATGAACCACTCTAACTAGTCCAGAGAAGCAAATTCATTGCTTCGATTACCTATCAACCTATGGTTGAAGCCTGCTGTTGTCATACTAGGACAGAGTCAGCACTTGTGAGTTCCTTCTGACTTGGTTTATTCTATGAAGCAACAGAGCATTTGCAATATGTAGATGTGTTCTCTATGCATGGGGTAACTTTAAGCACAGCATTTCTTATACAGTGGTGTATAAGAAATTTTATTTTTATTTTTTTTATTTCTTGTACAGTGGTGTAGTGGCTCTGTACAATGTAGTTTAGTTCATGTTATGTGCATTTTCACATGTTCTGTGGCTCTTGCCACAGTTGAATAATAATCTCCTGACGTATTTATCAAAGCTTATTGAAGCTTATTGCATTAAGCATGCAGAAAATAAATATGGGATTGTCTAAGCGTGTTTGATTGTGAAAACTTGGAATAAGAGAAATATGGAGTTACTATTTGGTAACTGGGTCACACGTTGTGATGCTTTTGTGCTTATATTTATCAGGAGGAACTTGAAAGTGTCAAATCATGGTTTATGTACATGATTGTTCTTGGAGAATAGTTCTAGAATGGCCTGGACTAGGCCTACTAAGTTCAGATTAATTTCTCATTCTGAGACTAAAACGTGGTTCTTTGGACCAAACTTTTACTAGAGATAAACTGGTTATGTAATCACTAGCTTCAGTGAAATACAAAGGATCTGTGCAAACTCAAGAGTTTGCTTCAAATTTTCATAAGGCTTTGCATGCAGAGCTTCTATGCTAAGTCCTCATCTGGCTGTTTTGAGCAGGCCTGATACTGGGAGCTTTTAGGTGCCATATCATTTAGCATGAACAAGGGACTAGAATTTCCTGACTCGAAAATACCATCTTGTTTCAAGAACACATCTGCTAAGATTTTAAAGGCTTTCATCTTCCAGACTGTTTAAAAAAGTGTACAAGTGTTTTTATATGGACATAAAAATTTGTAGAAAATGGCATTTTTGAAGACTTTTCATAGAGTATTCTATTCCTACACACCTGGCATAGTGAGAGGGTTGCAAGCTATAAAGATGCTTCAGAACTTTCCAATGCTATTACATCACCTTCAACTGTCATATTACAGGCATTCAAAAATGCTTTGAAATGTTTCAACAAGTTCAAATCTGTTAGTTTTATCCAGTCTCCCGTCCTCATCAGCAATGGACTGAGTCTCAGTTGCACACGTTAGATCACTGACACAGAGCAGTGTTTTTCAGAGAAAGAACTGCTGTTGTTAAAACCTTATCTGTTGAGTTTTTACCCAAAATCTTCAGCTTGTGTCCAGAGACCTCAGCTTCCATAAAATAAGCTGTGCAGATTGCAGTTATCACAGAGTAGCCTGTATAGCATGGATAGACCTAAAGAGTAAGGTGTGATGTGAAATACAGTGCACTAGCATTAACTTGCCCATGTTCTTACGGCTTCATGACTGCTTTGATGTGATATAGTGATATAGTTGGGAGGAAATGTGGAATTAGCTGCCTAGTTTAAAATGCATCTTCAGTGAGGGTAGTAGAGTGTAGCCAAGGAGCTTAGCCTCCTTGGGTTAACATTTAGGTCCTCTTGTCTAAGACTAGATAAGATGTTCATTTAGAGAAGAGTTACTTTTCATCTTCCCTGATACAGAAGATGTTACTGTGTGAGGTTGCTTGTGCTTTTTGTGGCTTGGTTATTTTGACACTTTCTGTCCTTATCTAGGAACTCCCCAGTCTTGCTCCTGTCATTAGTTTCACCTACTAAGGGATGAACCTGGAGCTATTTGGAAGCATGCCAGCCACAACACAAAACATGTATGGGAAAGGAGTGAATTCAGATCTCTCAAGTACTGATCTGGTGACTTAACTATAAAGCAGACTTCCTTTTCATTAATATAGAGTGCTCTGAATGTGCCTCAGGCTATTGAAGGGATCTGAGGGTAAGATCAGTCTGTTTACTGTGCCATGTATTGTAGAAGCAAAAACATCTAACTAGAATATTAAAAGATCTATGGTGATTAGTAAACCTAATTGGGAAATCTGGATGCTATATCCCAAATAATGATGTAACAATGGTATTCTTAATGATCAAGAATACTTTTATAGGTGTCTTATTGTATGTGGGACGTCTTAAAATTGATTGGACCGCAAAGTTTATTGTTGAAGTCCTTTCTGTTTCATAAATCAACAAGTCAAAAGCTGTATTAACAATTAAGTTGAATTTCTATTAACTGGATAAAGAGAGACTTCAAACGCATCTAGTTGTATATAAACAAGTGCTTTTAAAGAAGGGTGTTCTTGTAAATCAAGCTGTGGATCTTAATAGAAGGATTAGAAGGAGTAAAAGTAAAGCATACAATTAGTTTCCAAATTTTAGATGTAAGCTTAAGTTCTGTGAATGATACTGGACCTGGTGACTTCACTGTGCATATCTGCCTTTAATGTCAAATGCTCAACTTCAGAAACAAAAATCTGCTCCTTGCATGATTTTTATCACCAGTGGACTTCCACTGATCCATGTGTTCCCTGATCTGCCTGCTGTGATTGTACTGGGGCCTCCAGGGAAATATATAACTTATCTGTACAGTTCAGTTATAAAAAGTTTAGATTCTTGAATGACATTTGCTGAGGGTACTCATTAGAAAAACTATTGCTATGCAGAGGTAAGGATATCCGTAGCCACTACTGCTTACTTTTTATCTATGTATCCATTTTTTTCATCCTTGGGGTTTTCCTATGCATTCTGTATCTCAGACTTAAAAGCAAAAAGCCATGAAAAATTTCTCAGGAAGAACCGTTCTTAATTCTCATGTATGAGTTTTCATTCTCAATGAATAATACTGCTTCTTGTCTCTTCATATGCTCAAATATAGCTTCACAGAATGCCCTTCTGATTTATTGTTCATGTTCCCTCTGTGTAGTGTACTACTAGACAGGCAGAGGGGTTTTCATTCTTCTGGACTTCCAATACATTTAGTGCTGAGTTTAGGCAATGAGTGCATCTTCTCCTCCCATTGACGGGGGAGGACATGATTATTTTCAACATCACACAATGTGTGGTATCCCTTCTCAAACATATTTAAGAAATATTTCATAAATATTGTGTGTGCCACTTGAGCATCCTGTCATGCCTAACACTTCAGTGGAATAACTTTGACTTGCTGAGAGGCAAATTGAGACTGGGAACAAGCAGAGTGTTTGATGTATTTTTTTTTTTTTTTTATAAAAGCATCCCCTTTCTCAGCAACCAAACTGCTGATCAGAAGTGATACTTAGGAATAAATTAATACTCTGACTTGACTGTCGTGTAGCTTGTCTAGTGACAGGTGGAAAGGTTAAAGCTGGTAAACTTGAAGAGCATTCTCCCATATCACAAGCCTCTGAATATCAGGCTCAGTGCTGATAGCTTTATGAACAAGCTTTTGTTTAATAGCTGTTCTGATGTTGCTTATTCAGTCTTGAAATTAATGTGTAAAAGATGCCCATAAGCAACCAGCAGCTGAATTGACTGATTAGATGGATTACTACTATTACTTAGCCCAACAAGTTTGTTTTGTACACTTCAGCAAATTCTGTAGTGCAGACAAGTGGAATGATATGCATGTGGGCTAACACAAAAATCCCTCAAAAATATCCTAGGATTAGATGAACATGGACTTAAAATAGAATGAATTTCCTGTGTTTGTAAATTAGAGGCTTTCTGACATTTACATGTGCAAGTAGCTTCTATCAACATATTCTGTTTCAAATGAGCACTGACTCAGTTGCTCTTTTTCTCCCCATGCTAGGAAATAGGAGCTGATTTATTAGAGCGTCAAACTGATTAAGAGGAGATTATCTGCTGTAGGGGCTCATTTAAAGAGATCTAGGGATTCCACTGAGCTGCTGTGTTCAGTTGAATTCATTTCACACAGCTTTAAAAAAAAAAAAAAAAAAGTCAGTCTCTTGGCTTTAAAGATCTTTAACTATTTCTTTCTCTTGGAATAAAGTAGGAAGATTTTAAAGTTTTGGGGCCATAGAAATTCAAGAAGGCTCTAAGAATCCCTAGAGATGAAGTAACCCTGGAGGTTCTGCCACATGATAAAGAACAAGCTCTGCAATGTGGACAATGAGCCCAGGGCCCACACTGTATCTGCAGCTGAGTGCTCTAGGCTCTGAGCTCGCTCTCCTCAAGAAGAAAGGCTGCTGTTCATATGGACTTTATACATTTACCTGAAGGATGATAGTTGAGTTATGGTGTCGTACCTTTACTGTACTTTACTCTGTATTTCTGGAGAGCTCTGGAGCTTAAGTAGGAACTGAAGATAGGAACCGAAATGCTTTCTTGAGGATGGCATGTCAATCTGCTAGTGAAAAACTGTTCAGACCTATGAATTGTCAGCTGAAACATAGAAATTGTATTCTCCAGCTCAGGGAGCTGGAGAAGTATGAATGCAAATGAATACTGAGAAGTTAGATGACCTAGGGTCATCTCTCCTCCCTCAGAGCCTGGAGATTTCAGGAGAAATTCTATGTACAGTTCCAGTTCTATCACATGTGCCATGCTAACGTACTTACTGATTTTTTTAAAAGTATATTTGTGTTTTTTGTCAGCATTGTTAAGAATTAGCTGCTAGGTGAAGTTTGGCATGCCTTAATTGCGACTCCAAAAGATTTCGTTGGCACATCAATTAAGATGGTAATTCCTGGTAATAGTAAAAGAGAACCTAGTAAAAAAAAAAAAAAAAATAATGGCGTGTATCAGGTTAATGTGCATATGGTAATTACAGATTTTTGGGGTGACATTTAATAGACTCAAGAACACTGCTCTTCATTTTATCCTTTTGTATGGGGATTGCTGAAGAAGAACCTGTATTTAACATTTTGGGAAGTGACATAGCAGGAGAAAATTACACCCCTTGGATATATTCTTTTTGATCTTGTTACCAAGGTGAGAATGCTAGCTGTGAAGTACCTACACTGTTTTTGCTTTGGACTTGCAGAGATATTGATCATCCAGGCTGTAACTATTTCTTTCCTGAACTGCAGTTTGGTACATACCGGTCCTTAGATAACTTCTACCTTTTTAGAGTACACAGCTACTTTGCAGCAGACTAACTCAGCTGAGTTTGGTCATGTTGAAGTAAGGCAGTGAGATTAAATCTGCATTAAATCCCATCATAACTGGATTTGAATATGATTTGTAAGCAGATTAAAGGATTTGACTTCCATTTCATTTTAGCACTTCATATGAAAGTAACATCGAGGTATTATTTTATAATGGGAATAATTAAGTTGTGTCTAACAAATTTTAATGATGGTACGAGCCTTGGTTTTAACCAGTGAGAGCTAGGACTAGTGGGGTTCTACCTTCTGTTAGTCATTGTCCATTTTGCTGTTTCAGAGTGGGTGTTCACAAGGTTTCTGTCACCTCTGCAGGATATGGCATCTATGAAACAGGCCAAATAATTATCAGGGCTTCATATGGAGGAAGCTAGTAGCTAGAAAATGAATTGCATGCAACCTTACTCTCATGCCTTGAGTCTCTTGTAAGATGAAGGTGCAGACATGAGGATATGGTGAGTTCACTTCTTTAAGCTGAAATAACATACATGAAACTTGGTCATTTCTGAATTTATTTCCACCTCTGAAAAATCTTCTCATGAGACAAATAGGTTTCCATTTTAGCAAGTAAGAAAACTTTGCCCAAGGAAATGTAAATAGGAAAAGTTGAGGGGGGGAAAATAGGCAAAGAAAGACTTCTTGTGTGATGGCCCTGTGAGAAGTAAAGCTTTAGCATCATTCATGTACTGCCAACAAAGGTACCTAAATAATTTTCTTAAATTCTGAAAGTGTGTCTTAGGATGAAAGTTTGCATGGAGGGTAAGAGAAAATGTCACGTTCTTGAACTGAAGATCATCTGATCTAAAGTGATAGGGGGTGCCCTGAAATAGCTGGTGGTTCTTCTAGTTATAGGCTTGGCCCACCCACATGCCATTTCTAGTGCTTGAATATAACATAACATCTAGTGCTTGTCTATAACATAAGCCACATGCTTGCTGATGTAAACTGATTGGCTCAGTACACCTGGAAAAATGACACCATATAATTTTATCCATATTACGTAAACAAGTATTGTATACTATTCTACAGATATGTATTCTAATTGTTCATAATCAGCAATATTTTCTGCTGAGTCTCTAGAACCTCAACTTTGCAGATCTGCCAGAAGAACTGCTTTGGTTTGCACCAGCTTGAGGATTTGTCCCAAAATTCTAATTATTGTGTTAGAGATTTTCAAGTGATCAGAACAGAGATTATTAAAATTGGTTGGAGGTTGTAGCAGAATCCGTAAGTCAGTCTTTAAGGGCTATGTTAAGAGGGATTTTTTTTTTTAACATCAAATCTAAACTAACAAACTTAATAAAAACTGTTGTAAATTTGGGTCATGTTCAGTGAGTTCACCATTCGGGAGGAGCTCATGAATGTGGAGATAATTTCTTTTAACTAAAAAGTGTAAAGTATGCTATCAATTTCAAGTATAAAGAACATTTTTTTTGTTGTTGTTGTTGTTGAATAAAAATGTCTTCTCTCCAATCTACTGTACCAGAAAGGGCGGATCAGACTTTTCCCCTCCTTCTAAGGAATTTTATTGAAATAGTCTTCAGACTGGCTAACTCTGTCAGAAATCAAAAGTCATGAAGGTAGAAGTCAGGGTTTCTTTCTACTTTGCTGCCCTAATTAAGGGATCAGAAGCAAATGGAGAGTCACAGCTCCCTTTGGAGCCCAGTAAGCTTCTTCAAGTTATTTTAGAAGGAGGGAAGAGAAGGGAAAGTAAAATAGCCATGTCCTAGTGAGTGGTGATCTATTAAAGTCTTTGATTGCTATCTGCTTGATTTTTATCTGCTTTGCAGAGGAAGGAGCCAGTGCATAACTACATGAAATTAAGTAAATGCATTTAAATAACCATGCCTTTAATTTAGAGGGAAGAATGGGAAAGGGTGCTGGTGTGAGCTGTAGAAAGAACAAAGAAACAATTTTTACGTCACCATTTGCTGCAGGTCTTGCTGGCATTTAAGTTTTATGTATTTGAATAATGTTAAAACAACTTTAAATTTTTGTTCCCATCTTTCTACTTGAAAAACTGTAGTGAAACATAAAGCATTTCAATTTAGTACAGTGATAGAAATATGTAACAAATCCTTGCTCTCTGCTATGGAGTGGGAAAGAATGCAGTAAAAAAAAAAAGTTGGAAGATAAGCATCTTACAATGTAAGGCTATATCCTGCCATGTATTGGGGTCAGCTTATCCTACTGGATTTGTGCAAAAGGACTTCTGAGCTATTCTAAGCAGCAGCTGATGACTTCTGCCACACAAAGGGAAAAATGCAGCAGGTGTCAGTGAGCATAACTGCAACTGCTCCCCAGCCTCTGCAGGGAAGTGATCATGTCTCATGAGCCAGAGGAAGAAAGTGTTAGCTCTTTACCAATGCACTTAGCATAAAGTATGATATTCAAAGTGCCACAACACCTGATATGCTATAGGAACCTTGTGTATGTTCTCGTATACTACAGCATTATGGTTACTCTCATTTCTCTGCCAGCCAGATCACTAATTTGTAGATACTGGTACTGTGCCTGTGTATTTCTGTATATACATGCACATTCAGATGCATGTAAGCAAGACTGACTACATGAGATAGTTAACTTACTTACCTTGCTCTTGTTAATTTTTGGAACTAATTGCCACCAGCACTGATAGGCTTTAGAGGTTCCTCATTAAGTCTCTTGTGTGCACATTGTGGTCATGAAAGAAAGCGAGGCTGTTCACTCATTTAATTGTTGGTCATCAAGCTTGGTTATTTTTGTCACTGTTTTATACTGGCTGTATAATTTCAGGTAGGTAAGTTGCTTTAAATAAGCAGAGTTAAACTTCAGGATTTGACTTCTAATTGCATCTTCAGGGTATTAGGTGAATGAAAGCATGTTACAACATAAATGGTAATATGGGCTACTTGAGCTTCAATCTTAATATTGGTTGCTAATTTTAAAGTTCTACTTATTTCAAATTAGCCCCTGGTAAGGTGGTGGTTTAGCCCAATCACTCGAATCACTAGTACTAGTGGTGGCAATGGTGACGAGGAGACGGTTGGACTGGATGATCTTATAAGTCGTTTCCAACCTTGCGATTCTTGTGATTCTTGTGTGATTCTTGTGAATCTCCAAATTAATCTAAACGATGATCCCACAAACTGCATTTTGATGGAAACCTGACTGAGGGGTTTTGTGTGTAAAGGTGGGTTTATCAACTGCAGGAGACCTGTCTTTAATTAAAAAAAAAAAAAAACTAAAATAATTAGGTATTCCTTGTTGTCTTCGCCTGCTTCAGTTATACACATCCAAGTTACTTTAGAACACTGTGAGCACAGAATTATGTCATAAAGTAGAAATCTCTAAGTTTGTTATTACTATCAACCTCTAAAACAATGATTTGAAGAGGGGAGGTTAAAGAAGGGAAAAGTACATCAAATGTAAGGTAGAGGTAAATGTTAATGGTGGACTAAGTCTTGAAAACAGGCTAAAGTAATGGAAAATATTACGGTATGAAATGATCAGTGATATTTTTTATATAATGCACAGCAAATACAGCCAGTTTGGAGGCTAGCAACAGCCTTCTTAAGACATTAGGGAATTATCTTTTATTCTGCTTTAGAAGAATCATTTTAGACAAAGTTTTTCATACTGACTGTAGCACAGAAGTAAATGGTGTGTTCAAACCCGTATCTAGGTAGCTGAGATGAGCACTGTATCATCTCCACAGTGTTTCATGTGGAATTTATGAAATATGCTGGGAATGCCAAGCAGCACTGCTGAGAAATGAGTTTTCAAATGTGGTGTGGGGAAATGTAATACCAAGTGGCATATCACAGGAGGGAAAAAGAAGTTCTCTGAGCAACATCTCTAATCCCTATTAAATGCTTGATGCTTCAGCCTTTTAATTAAAACAAGCTGGCATTTATGGCTGCATGTAATCAAGAAATGAAAGATTTTATACCATCTCTTTATCCCCTGATATGTGACAAGGGAAAATACCAGTCTGCCTTTATCTAGACACATCATCTGCAAGAGGGCAAAGTTTTTCCAGTTTTCCCATGAATATAGCTTTTCATTGCTTGTGTGGCATCTGTGGACATCTGCATTGCCTGTTCGTATCTGCTCCTGTGGCAAACATAATCATATGCCATTAGGTGATGAGCACCAATCTTCTACTGGCCTGTGTATTAAAACAACTGTGCTCGCATTGTAATGACATATTTAACTGAATGATCTTGCTTGCTTCCTTGTGCTTCTGCTATTGCCAGTGGTTTTGGGATCTATTACAGTAAACAATAGCCCATGCATGAATCATTCCTTCTCCTAGGCCCCCATCTCCACTACCAGTGCTTGGAATGACAAGTTGTGATATTCTATGTAAGACTGGTTGCTTTAAATATTCCTATTCAACTTCTGAGCTTGTTTTCCCTCTTTTTTTACTGTATCAGTGCTATACAACTTAATCTGTTTGGTATGCATCTTTGCAAATGCTCAACTGTATCTTTCCTGAAAATGCTTGAGGCACAGTGCTACTTGAAGAAGGATTCTCTTAATATTCCTAGATTTCCAGTGTGGAGCTGCTACCTAGGAAGAACGCCATGCTATATACCTAAGGCAGTATCATCAACAGGCACTGCGCTGGTTAAAGTTCAAATCATGAGTATTTACTTACTGAGGTACAACTGGGGAGTTTAAAATATTTTATAGCACCATGTGTAATCAGCTTAAGCAGAAATTCTTTTGTATTTGTGAGAAAACAATTTGTAAGGAATGCACTTGAATATGAACTTGCAAATTGAGTGTACTGACTGGCATTTCAGATGTGTATTGGAAAAAATCTCTTTAAGGGGAAACTGCAGTATTGATCATACCTAGTTATTCCTTCCCCATAAATATGCTTACATAGAATTTGAGGTGTAATATGGTTGTGTCTGTTTGCATGCTGTAGGAATGTTATTAAAACAATTGAATATAGCTTTGCTAGCTGAAACACCTTCATGCTTTACATGCCTTTTTAACTCTCTAAAGTCTACTTCATGGTCTAGCAAAAGCTTGAAATCATGTTCACTAATGCTGCCACTTAAGAAGTACGTATTGCTTATGTATCAGGCTCTGTTTCAGTTATATCTGTAGAGGAGACAGGTGCTACAAAAGCTGTCTGAATTCAGGATGCCTGCTTTTTTTTTTTTTTTTGTTTAAATGCTCATTTGATTTGTGTATAAAAAAAAAAAAATAATAGTTTGGAATGATTTTAACTTTGAGGGAGTATTGCTTGGTCTTCTACAAAATGTCAGTAAAGGCCAAATGAAGTTCAGTACAAATCCTTAGATGAAGGTCTGAGTGAGTTTGGTGAATCTGAGTACTATCCAGCCTTAGAAGACAATCAATGACCTTTAACAAGATCTTGCAGCTTCTGCTTCTCCTGGAAAAATTACTGGCTGTAGATGGGTCATAACCAGACACCTTTTGACAAGAATTCAACTCAGTGTATCTCTTTGAGAGGAATCTCCATCCAAATGCATGTCTGTTCAGAGTGTGCTCAGGCTCAAGTGTTCTAGGGGGCATTAATATGGGTTTCTAGGTGTTAGTCTTCTATGAATTCAGTTCAGGTGGACTTAAGCAAGATTAATGTGTTGGTGTCCTCTCTGCACATCAGCTCTGCTCGCAGGAATAGTGTTAAAAGGGCTGTCCAGTCATTCTTAGAATTGAAAATGTTGTAAAGAAACTGTTTCTATGGAACAATATGCAATTCTCAAGTAATGGGAATGTGCTATTACTGTTTTCTACAGTTTGGCTATGAATGGTTTGGCTGCATGTTGAGATATCAGGTGAAGGAAATCTGAGGGTCATGACTGCTATTTACACAGTGGGGGATGTGAGCACATCATCTTATGGCTTTTGATCAGCTTTAGATATAAGCAGTGATTCTGAAACATGTAGTCTCAAGCACAGGGAAAATGTTTTTTTTTCTGTCAAGTTCTATTTCTTGAGTTGTTTTCTGATTTCAGCATACATACATGCTTCTGTATGGCTTTGAAATTGTACAATGACACCTTGCTTTCTTTGGCTTGAATTCCTGCCTGTTTATTCCTTTACAAAAACACAAGAATGTAATAGTTAAAATGTTCTTTACTCAGCTGGCATAAATCTGTAGTTCCACTGGCTGCTCTAATTTAAATCCAAATTTAATCAAATATTAAATTGGGTCCCAGCGAAAATTGAAGTCAAAAGAGAACCCATAGGTACCTAAAATTCAAGTCTAATTTTCCAGTAGAAGGGTATCAGCTGCTACTTTGTGCATTCACAATCTCACATTTGCTGCTTGTGGCTCAGTGACTGACGTTGGCTGTGAAGCCGGCACTTGGCTGCTCCTTTGGCCAGTGGAGATGAAATGTTGGCTGCTGGCTCTCTTAAAAGAGCAGAGCTATAAAATTAGAAAATAATAAAACATGATGATTAGGTTAGGGTCACGAAATATTGTAAATAGGAACATATTGGCCTTTATGCTCTTTTTAAAGCTCTTTGTATGTTGGCTAGCCAGCTTCCTGGATGTCTGTGTTGCCTTAACCGTGTGACTGTCTAAAGGTGATGTATAACAGAAAAAAATAAATGACCTTTTATGTATACTAAGGCCTGAAACAACTTTTTCTTGAAAATGTTTCCTCCCTGACCTTTATCTTTTTCTAGCAGTGAAGTCTCCTTTTTCTTGCTGTCACTCATGGAGAAGTTGGTAGCATTTAGGACTGTGGTGAAGAATTGTAATGACTAGTACCTGTATTCATGTGTTTGGATTGGGATTTTTAACCCGTGGGAGTAAATGTAGTTTTAAAAAAAAAAAAAAGTGTGGTGCTTTGTTCTCGTTTTTGTCTAAGTTATGAGCAGTCAGAAGACCTTGTGGGCTTCAGGAGTTCTGTTACTAATGGATATGATTGTCAGACCATGTGTGAAGACTTAAAGTCTAGATGCAGAGATCAAAACCTGGTGTTTAGAGGAGCAGGATTTTTATTTTATTTTATTTTTTTTAAGGAAAAAAGCCAAGGATTTCTCTGGTTATCTATTTGGGCTTTTAGTCTGGTGGCACGTTTAGTACATTGGGCTTGTTAGTGAAAATTTAAGCTTTTACTAGCTGATATTTTGTCATCTTTGACAATTTTTTTTCTTCTTGCTTATGTACGGAAACACGAAGAGAATTGAGAGGATACAGGCCTTTGTGCTGCATCCAGAGATACTTGGCACATTTGACCAGGAGGGCTGAGTTGCTTTTGAGCCTGGTGAGCTACTTGGTACTGGCTGAGGGAGAGGAGTAAAAATCTTTGTGGACACAAACTGAAGGAACGTGCTGCATGAAACCTCATCAGTCTGTTACTGGATCACAGTAGCTTTACAAGCCATGAAATGCTCTTCTGCCGATTCCACCTAGGAATGTCCACCTGTATGCAATTCCACTAGGTCTGTGGCCTAACAGATGGTCCTAACTAATGAAGAGAGTCCTTTTAATTAGTCCGTCTAAAGACATTTATTCACACTGGTGGGTGCTCCCAATAAAGTTTCAGTGACTGGGAGCTGTGCTGCTGGCTTCCAGCAGTCACCATCTGTTTGGTGGCAGAAACTGGCCACGATATCACACTTGCATTTCCCACTTCAGTGGACTGGAAACAGGTTTAATCCTGAGGAAAAGAGGGAAGGGGGGGGAAGGTCTCCTGGTTATTGCCTACAGAAGTTTGAAAGCTCTGGTATCCCTGCTTCCAGACCTAGGATTACAACAGCTTATCCTGCTATCTCTAACAGCAGTTTTAGAAAGCAGCTTTAGAAATCATACTTATTTCCTTTGGCAGCTGCATTTTTTAATATTTGAGAATACCTTTGGTGTATTTACAAAGGCTTTCTTATGCTGCTGGTGGGTTTCTTAACCGAATATTGAGTGAAATCCCTCTGTTCTTGATGATTGATACAAAATCTAAAATAATTAGAATTAGAAATGTTATGCCAGTAGTCCTTATTCTGAGAGTAAAATACTGCTGAAGAGACCTTGCTGCCTGCATCTTAAAGGGAAGCACTTAATGTTAACAGTCAATTCAAGACAAGGAGGGATGTTAGGGAGCTGGAGCAGTACAATAGGAGATAAATAAAACTAGTCATGGGTGATAAAGTTTTGTGTATGTCCTCTGTGTATGGAGAAACTAATCCAGTTAGGAAAGTAATTAAACCAGTTGAAAACTGGTTTCTTGGAGAAGAAAGAGGCTAGAGATGAGACAGGAACTGTGAGAATGCAGCATCCTTTAGGATAATTCCATCTACTTATGGTGTTGATATACTCAATTTACAGTTTTTCCCTGCATTCCCCTCAGCCTCTCTCCACTCAAACCTTACCTAGGCTCCAACTTCATGCTGTGCTTTAACACAGCATGTAGCTAAGCATCACACAACCATTCATGTAATGTCGCGAAGTATGGAATATGTCTTTAGTCAGTTTAGATCAGCTGTCCTGATTCTGTGCCTCCTCACTGGCAGGACAGTATGAGAAGCTGAAAAACTGAAGAGTTCTTAGGTCTGTACAACACTGCTCACTGACTGAGTAAAAGGTGCCATGGGAGGACTAGAGTCAATGTGGAGGTGTTAGACCTAATAGCTGTCTTTCAGAAAACTTCACCTGGGAAGTATTCAGCTTCTTTGGGTGGAGAGAAGCTATAGAGAAGTGTAGGCTGATGCAGCTGAACTGTCTCAGCAGGAAAATAAATAAAAAAGCAATTAAAGCTCAGGAAACTTCATTGTATAGGAGGACTGATTCTTATCCAGTTCTGCTTCATACAGTCTAGACAGTTAATATTTGGAGATATTAAGAATCAAAATTTAAAAAAGTTGGTATCTGAATAGTGAACTGAAATAGAGGGACTTAAAATAGTTATAACTGAGGGGGAAGACTATCAGAGGCAGAGATGTAAAGAAATGTGACAAAAATTAGTGTGGGGAAGATAGGATTTGACTGAAGAGGAAGCAATGAGCTGAACATCAGGAATTTGAGAAATATCTGTGTAATGAGGGAATTGAAAATGAGTTGCAGGCCGTGAGTACAAGCAGAACAGATTTGAACAAGATCTTATGATGGTGATGGCAGGAGAAGAGGATGCTTGTGTTCTGGATTCTACAGATACCAGCAGAAGACGGTAGTGTGGCCTGAATGTCTGGCAGTTCCAAGGCCATTGTAGGGTGTTTTTCTGACAAGCTTAGTCTCGGACTCCTATGCTTCTGGGACATCATTTAATGCAGAATGCTTTTTCTGTAAGGGTCAATGGAACTACCAATAGTCAATTTTGTTAATGTTTTTGCTGCTGTTTTGCTGATGTTATTGCTTTTTTTGTTGCATTTATTGGACCATATGCCCTTGCTGTAGTGTCAGGCTTATGAGTAAACTTGGCCTTTCTAAGTAACCAAAGTTGCCTGCAATGCGTAGATTATGGGTTCAAGTGAAATTGAGGCTTTCTTTTCTGTACAGATTTACACATAAGAGGAAGTGAAATGATAATGCAGTTCAACCTGATCTCTTAAGTATACTTATTTTCAAAATTCCCTACAGGGAAGAGGTTTTTTCCTAAATTGTTTAAAAAACAACTCCTGTGTTGAAAAGTTTGTTTTAATGCTAATGGCAAGTGAATGCTCTGTAGAGCATTCTTTTTTCCCAAAGACAGTTATAGAGACAACTCTGATCTTTGCTCGTGTTTGCTCTGAGTATGTTGGAATAAGTTTGTAGGTTGTTTTCTCCTACAGTAAATTGCTTTGTTACCTCTGTGTATGGAGCTGATTTCTATGCAAAATATGCTTAGAATGCCTGGCCAAGTATGTACTCATCTTGCATGCGCTCAGAATCCTTACAGATTCTGACTATAAGGAAGATCTGAAGGGAAGGTAAAATGTGGCCTTTTCAACAGATCTTCAAAGTGCAGCACTGCACAATTGTTTAAGAGCATGTATTATCAGGCAAGGATTCAACTCTGTTCATTTAACTACTTCAAATAGTGAAATATGTGATTTCTGGTGGTCTTATAACACATTTAAATGCCTACAACTTGAGTATCTGCCTGAGCAAGTACTTGTACTAAAGATTTCTGGATTACATAATGGAGATCTGAATTTGTCCTTTTTTCAAACTTAAATATTTGTTTATATCTTTTCTTGAGTGAGCTGAAGCTAAATTAGAACTTCAGTGTCCTGGAAAAGCCCTACTTTCACACTAAGACTGAAAATGAGTGAGAAGGGTATTGTGGGCTGTGTCAAATGTACAATTAAAAATAAAAAACTTTATATGGAATAGTGTTTTTCTGACAAATTGTTCAGTCAGAACTTCTTTGTTCTCATTCCAGTCTGTGTACTTCATCTTATTCTTTTTTATTTTGAGAGTTTTCTGTGGTTTAAAGTTCTCCAAATAATAAATTCCTTCCCCCTTGGAAGAGTATAAGCTGGTAACATACAGAACAAGAAGGAAAGAATGTGAGAATTTATTGATGAGAACATTGGAAAAGAATTGCAATCACAGCCCAAATTGGAACTGCAAGGGTGTATTTTCTTTGGTTATCTTCATGTGGGTTAACTTTCTCCTTGCTTTTGTGTATATGATTTGAGTTTTAGTTAAACAGACTGCACAAGAAGATAATTTTAGCTTCTGTGAATTAGGATTGTGCCTTTCATTTTCCTGCAGATGTTCTGCATATCAAGCCAGGATTGCTGGGTCCATTGCGTTCTGCCCACAGAACATTATTAATATGCAACTGTGCACAAACATCTGGGTAGTCTGGCTGAAAGCATTTTGAACATGAGCATGTGAATTCCATTCTCAGATAGACATATGATGTGTTCCATGGGCCACCGCTTCTCTGGCATGAGCAATGGAGGGCTTTGATGTCTTGTTTCTGCTTTACATTTTTCTTCTCTGCATTTTCTTTTTCCTAGCCTTTTCCAGTAAGGCTGGAGTACATATGAGCTTTTACTTTTCGTGATGGAGGACTAAGGTGAAAATAATGGAAGCTGCTTGTCTTCAGCATGGACATTAGGTGCTTCCTGGCCAGTACATACAGTCTAATGCTTATTACAGAAACATATCTTGAATGCTTTTTTTACACTGCTTTCTTTAAATATTTTGTTATAAGCCTCACTCAAAATGGGTTCCTCACCAAATTGGGAACAATTTTCACCTTTTCCCCTTCTTAGTATTAGTTAAGATGTTACAAGCATTTGAAGCTTCTAGAGTTTCTTGGTTGTTTTATTTTTTCCTTGTGGATCCTATGGTAGTATTAGTTGAAACATCTATATATGCCTTGTATTTAATGGATTTTGTTTGGATGCTAATTCAGAATCTGGGGGCCTGGCTGCATGGAGTGCTTGGTGGAAATCATCTTTTGTGAGTTTTGCTGGACAAATCAACTTTGTTTTGCGGGACTTGGCTGAAGTCAGGCACCACTGTGCTTCTTCAGGATCTGATAGCAACCTTTTCTGGTCTAGTAAAAAGCAATATCAATCTTTCTGCTTATTGTAACTGCACATGTCCTAGACACATCATGTATATTTCCTTTCTCTGATAGGATTTGATCCAGCTGCTGCTCAGCTTGAAGGAGAGTTTCCTGTTGATAAGGGGGAACTGTGCCTCTTTTACTGGAGAGGGGTTTTTTGGTGGTTTACTTAGTTGCCTGCTGAATTCTAGTTCAGTGCTGTACTGTTATAGAAGTACTTATTTCCAGTTTGTTTGAGGTGGTTGTGACTAATGGGAATCCTGAAGTTAGCTTCCTGCTTTT